GAGAGAGAGAGAGAGAGAGAGAGAGAGAGAGAGAGAGAGAGAGAGAGAGACTGACCTCCTGCTGCTCCTCCAGCACAACTTCATCCTCATCCCTCCTCCTCTCCTCGTCCTCCTCCTCCCGCTCCTCCTTCCGGGCTTTCCCCCGAGCCACCTTTTTCTCCTTTTTCCCCAATCATTGATGGTTTGAAAACAAAAACAAAACACGAGAACAGGCTGATACCCGATGGATTTTTCGAAACAGAAAACAAAAAATCAGCCAATCAATCAATAAATTTACCAATCGAATTTATTTATTTATTGATTGATTGATTGATTGATTGATTGATTGATTGATTGATTGATTGATTGACTCTGTGTGTGTGTGTGTGTGTGTGTGTGTGTGTGTGTGTGTGTGTGTGTGTGTGTGAGAAAAAGCACTTCTATATAGGGTTTGTCAACCGTATTGGCCACAGATTCTGCCGTAGTAGATTGAACCGCTGACCTTGATCTCCACTAACTCTGCAAAGGTTGGCAAAGTAAACAGCAATATTTCTTTGTTTTGAAATTTGAATGCTTTTTTTTTCCCCCTTTTGATCTCCACTTAACTCGACAAAGGTCACGAACGTAAACAGCAATATTTGAATATGTTTCTTTGTTTTGAATGCTTTCTTTTTTCGTCGTTCTGAATGTTATTTTCATGGTTTCGAGTGTTTTAAACTGTTTTTTGCATTCACACTGATGCAAAAAACGTTAAAACTTAAAACACATAGATGCAAAAAACGTTTCTGTCGGTTGATAGTCCAGAAGTCCGCAAAAAACATTAAAACTTAAAACTTAAAACATAAAACACAGTTACCGCTCACGAATGCTTGCAGCAGTTGTTGTTGTTTTCGGCAATGTTTTGTTTTCCCCTTCCTTCGCAGGGTTCGAACCCTGGTAATGGCCACACTTACAGTGATTGGTCTACCGTCTAGGAACTCTTTTTCTTTTCGGGAAATAATCCGAACAATTCGGCTCTTTTCTTTTGGGGAAATAATCATCCGAAAACTTTTTTTCGCCGAGAATTAAATTTGAAACTCTTACAATTTTTCGTTCTGTTCGTCGTTGTATTCACTGGGATCACCTTTCTTAAATTTGAACTCTGCAAACAAAGGTGGTCCCAGCTAATACGACGGCGACGACCACAATGATCCCAGTTAATAAGAGTTTCAACTTTCAAATTTAAGTTCCGGGATCACCAAAATTATAAAGAGTTAAGTTAAAACTTAAAAGAGATTCAAATCTAATTTTCGGGATCACCTTCGTTTGCAGAGTCCGAACTCTGCAAACAAAGGTGATCCCAGTTATTACTATTTTTTAATTTTTTTTAGTATTTTAGTATTTTTCATTCTGGTCGTCGTCCTATTAGCTGGGATCACCAAAACAATGGCAAAGTCATGAACTCAAGTTTGTTTGTCTGACTTGTCACCTATTGCTAGTAATTTGGTACAGACTGTACAGTTATGATGATTTTGGTCTAGGTGCACTTTTCTTTTGGTAAAATCATCCGAAAGGACCGAAACGTAAAAATTCGCGCAAAAGTTGAGAACTTGAAATTGGTATTTAGTATTTACTATTGTCGTATTTTAGTATTTTAAACTTCTTTTTTTTTTTTTTTTTAATTGTGACCCGATGTGTCACGGATCAGGTATTAAACTGATCAGAACAGATACTACACTTGATCTTAGCCAAAAGGCCGAGAAATGTATTTTTCAATTTGGGTGTCGCCGTGTTTTTGCTGGGGTTACCTTTGTTTGCAGAGTTCGAACTGGCAAAGTGATGAAGGCAAGTTTGCGGCCTATGCTAAAGCTTCACTGGAGCTATGCCAAGCGTATATGACATCTTCCAGACAGAGAGCATCTGTCCCCGAGCAGCCTCAGCCATCAAAAGACGGCAAACGAGAGCTGCTGGCCGCAAGAATGCAGCTTCGCAACACTCTAAAGCAGGCAAGTTGTTTTTCTTTCGTCGTTTATGGGCTCTGCAATCTCTTCATCCTTTTTTTTTGTTCTTACTTTTTCAAGTTTTCTGTTTTTTTTTTTTTTGTTTTTTTTTTTTTTTTTTTTTTTCTGGCTTGAAGTATGTGTTACTGAAAGGGTAATTGCGAGCAGGAGGGGGCTATGCTTAAGAGTAATGGCTCGACCTGACGGTCAATCCGCTTCCTGATGGGAAGCAATCAAAATGCGGGTAGGGTTCCCCGGGCCGTAATGTGGGGACGCGTAAAGTTGTGTTGCATTCTGTTATTGGCTTGACGTGAAGTTGACGGTAGGGTCCTCGCTCTGTGGAGGCGCCCCTACCTTTGATATCTCTTTTTTTTTTTTTTTTTTGAAGTTTGGGGATGTCTGGAGTTTGGGTCTCCGACTTGACCAGAACTTTTGGCGCACCCTGTTTTCTTTTTCGCTGCATTTGTGTTTATTTGTTTTTATTTCTTTTTAGTAGTTTTTACTGATCGCTGCATTTGTTTTTATTTCTTTTTAGTAGTTTTTTTACTGATCGCTGTGACAACACCGACCAGCGTATCGCTGCGGTCTCGTGTTTCGTTTTTCTTTTTTGGAACGAATCGAAGTCCTTATGGTCCTTTTGCTCCAATCTATGCTGTGACGTTGCCTTTGTGTTGCAGGGGGAATGCTTTTCCAGCACGCAAGAGTATAAGTCGCTACAGTCGTGTCTTACAGAGGTGCAAGCACTGGTGGAAAGACTGTAGTAAAAAGTGAAAACAAGCAGTAGTGGGATTTTCAAGGTATGGATCGTTTATTGTTGATTGGATGAATTTGGGCCTACTATTGACCATAGTTCATATTACCTCTACTTTTTGGTAGTTTTGTTCGGAGTCATCGTCGTTGCGTGCAAGAGAGTAGGGTAGACCCCCATCGCTCAAAGTAGTTTTGCGTGCACCATGCTCAGGTTTTGGTTTACCTGGCGCAGTTTTCGGTGCACCTGGTTCAGTTTTTAGTACGTTTCAGTGCATCTGGCTCAGTTATCGGTGGTCACTCGGTTCAGTTTTCAATGCAGCAGCTGCAGCTGCAGCTTATGAGGTGTGTGTATTTGTTAGCAAGGAGTAGCCGGCTTGGTTCTCCTTCGATGACCTTCTCGGTGACAAAAGGCATAAATAGTGTTGTGGATGGAGGTTTAGCTTTAGAGGGCGTTGTCTGTGTCTGTGGGATGTGCACCTGGGGCCTTTCAAGGGAGGGGCTGTGAAGGTGAGGGTGGTGAGGGTATAAAGGAATTTTTCCTGCTCTGGAACTTGTAGGAAGGGTCCATCCATGGGCAGTGTACACCCTTTTCCATTGCTCGCATCCGTGATTGACGACGCCTAATCTCCTCCATCAAATGCTCACAGGTCAACCGTACTTACTGCCATCCAGAATCTTGTCCATAGGTATGATCCATTTCTGCACCATTACTTAGCCGTAGCATGCAGTTTTTCATGTAGGCCGAGAGAGAGAGAGAGAGAGAGAGAGAGAGAGAGAGAGAGAGAGAGAGAGAGAGAGAGAGAGAGGCAGGGGCAGAGAGACTGTATCAGGATCGACATGAAGGATCTGCAGAATCAGAGTGAGATGAACCGGAGTGTGAATGGTTCAGTGCCTTTCTGAGATGAAGTGGGCCACATGAGAGCAAACAGTCACAAGGTTCTCAACTCTCTCTCTCTCTCTCTCTCTCTCTCTCTGAATGTGAATCTCAGGTACTCCCAGTGTGCGCCAACGTGAGCAGTTCACTCACACTTGTATGTAAATCTCATAATACCTTGTGCTTGCTTGTACCTTCTGTTGATTTATTCTCTCTTCATCGGTGGGTTCCTTTTTTTTGTTTTTTTAATGCTTCGGGGGATTCGACATTGTTGGTCGGAACGATGCTTTACGGGGGTTCGTGCGAAGATAGAGACGGTTCTTGAAAGAAATATCTACCAAAGAAAGGGTAGGTGATTGGCAAGAGGGGGCAAGTGCGAAGATAGAGACGGGTGGTGGTTGAAGCCTGAAGTGGAAGAGATGGCAGGACTGTCCAAAATTAGCAAATTGTCAATGATCTACCATTTTTCAACAAACTTTGAATCACCAGTATCTTTGCCCGATTGAAAAACAAATAAAGCGGCGGCTCGTTTACATCCACGTTTGTTGGGGGCTCGGGTACCGGACCGAACTGGCTGGTTTCGCCACCAGCCATGGGCAGGCCTGCGTAGGTTCCTTCTTTTTTAAATGAATAAAAGTACTCACGTTTCACCTCGCATACATCAATGAACCTTCACACGAGAGTTCACACGTGAGAAGCCGAGGATGAGACACAATCAACACATGAGAAGCCGAGAGAGAGAGAGAGAGTTCACACATGCGGCAGAGGTGCTCGAGACAAAATTATCATTATGATACAAAGAATGTTTGTCTCGAGCACCTCTGCCGCACACACACACACACACACACACACACACACACACACACACACACACACTTAGAACTGATCTCAACCCGAACGACAGCTATGGCTTCACTCTCTCTCTCTCTCTCTCTCTCTCTCTCTCTCTCTCTCTCTCTCTCTCTCTCTCTCTGACGCGGCTCTGCCTAACTCTCTGCCTCTAACCTGGATCGTAACCCTGAATACACCCACCAGGTGAATTTCTCACTTGGCGGCTATGACCGCCCTACTCCCTGTCTCCCTCTACCCTAGCTATGCGTAATTCTCGAGCGTCCTCTTCTTCCTTCAGGCGCTAAGTGCCCAAGTTGCCTTAACGCACAAGCAGCAGCAGGAGCGCTTTCGCATCTTGCAAATGAACAAGTGAGATGAGCCTCTGCACTGTAGCCGCTAAATATAGGATTTGACTTCTCTTGGCCTGCTTCAGACCGGTCCCGGTCGGCCGCACCCTGTCTGTTGCAATGCAAACACATTTTGTCACTCCGGTAGCTTCGGGACTTGGGACTTGGGACTTGGGACCTTGGGACTGTACTGGACTTGACTTCTCTTGTCGGGTACCCAACTGACTTTTACGGACTTGTGACGTTTCGTTACTGACACCAGTACAGTCCCAAGTCCCAAGTTGGATAACATGCTTATCCACTTGACTTCCGCTGTCGAAACGTCAGAAGTCGGGACTTGCGACTGACTTTACCAACCTACGACTCTTCAACCTGTATGGACCCTACGGCCTCTCCTACCGGGACAGCCCGGGACTGGGTGGGACACTCGGGACTCTGAGAGCGGAGCGGGACTGGGGTGGGGTGTCTGCAGCGCGAATCCTTCATTTTTGGGCGTGCAGGTTGAATTTGGGAGCTTGGCATCAAGAGCTGGGGGGGGCGTAATGGTGGTTAACAAATAAAGAACAGAAAAATCACCCTTTTGCCAAGGCAAGGTATGGGCTTCTTAGGACACATACTCACATTTTTTAGCACTTTTGAAAATGCACGTGGCTGCAATTGCGGCCAAACGCGGATGGATCTGACAACAATCATGTCCAGAGCTTTGCCGAAAAAGTCCTCGTGCGCCTCATGGCATGCACAAGAGACAAAAAATTATGTCCGTGTCTCTTTCCATATTCTAGCTGAAGATCCATTCTCAGTTCCGCACATTTCGCGAGTGGCGGGGCAAGTCCCATCGTCTTGAACATCCCACTTCCGGGAAGGTACAAAATTTGATGATGATTCATTCGGCTCGATTCCAAAGGACGATCTGATTCTTTTTTTTCCAAGAGAAAAAAAAGACGATCTGAGGCGATACTCACACTCGGACTGCTTCTACTGAGCTTTTTTTCTGGAGATGATTGCAATAAGGTTCATCTGCATCTGTCCGTAATTGCAGTTAGATGCATTTAGGACAAGTGGCAAGTGAGTATGATGCATTTAGGACAAGTGGCAAGTGAAGAAAAAAAGAAAAAAAGGACAAGTGGCAAGTGAGTATGATGCATTTAGGACAAGTGTCAATGTGAGTTCTTGTCTGTGCTCGTAGAGAGAGAGAGAGAGAGAGAGAGAGAGAGAGAGAGAGAGAGAGAGAGAGAGAGAGCTACGCAGGATCTTTCTTGAACTAACTAGAAACAAAAACTGTCAAAAAGCACTCTTGTCTAAACTTGTTAGAAAGACTACAACGCAGGATCTCAATCATCCCACTACTCGTAATTAGGGCCTGGCTCCACTGCACAACTTCTTTTCTTGTTTTTTTTTGTTTTTTTTTTTGCCTGTCGGTCCGTGTCGGACCCAAAAATTTGGACCATTTCTCGATTTATGTGTGTCATCCTTGAAAGCGCAGGGGGCATGCTAATCTTGTCTATGTTGTTTGTATCGTTCCAATTGTAACGGATGTCCCAAAGGACAATGGACAACATTTTAAACCACCAGTACCTGCCACATTCTTAGGCCCCATCTGACTCGAATGAATACAGCCCCGCGCTGCAGGCCGATTCAGCGACCTCGTTAACGGCCAAAGAACGTGGAGGTACTGGCGGTTTAAGCATATCTGGAGCTGCTTCTTATTGTCCGGATACATTGAATCCCACATACGCATACAATGTTGACCAGTGGAGCGAGGCCGTTGATCGGGATGGGTAAGTAGTGCATATGGATAGATAATGCTACGGCATAAGACATCCAGTTGAACGTATCCGGTCCAGACGCCATTCCAAATACATTTAGAATGTTAAGAAGTGGAGTGGTGGAGTGAGGCACATGAGGGGGATCCTCCAAGATAGGATGGTCTGGGTCCCATAAATTACTTGCAGACTGTAGATAGGTAGGTACCCGTCGTGGGTCCAGAAACCGACCTCCTCTACAACACCCTGGACTCCAAAAAAAAAAGGAGTATCGAGTTGGATAACATGCTTATCCACTCATCAAATTTGGAAAACATGCTCGATCTTTTTGATTCACCGAATGCGGTGGCATGGACATCCCCCAAGGGAGCAAAGGGTGATTGGCAGCAAAGGGTGCGCGCATTTCACACTGGGGATTCTTGTTTTTTTCCTTCTTTTTTTTCCCCGGATTCCCACTCTGTGTGTGTGTGTGTGTGTGTGTGTGTGTGTGTGTGTGTGTGTGTGTGTGTGTGTGTGTGTTTACTGTGGAGCATTTCTGAATTTCTCATGCCATCCTCGTGCAGGGTGCATGCTGATCTTCTCTGTATCATTCTGATTTTAACGCCTCGGTCTCCGAGCCTGTATTGTGTGAGTCCCGTCAGACTGCAACAGGACCACCAATGTGTGTGGCATGACAGGCACCAGAGAAACAGCCCTGTTGGCTCAGGAGTATCTCCCGAGCCGGCCTCGGAGGTGCCAGCGTCCTGTTGCTCGGTTGACCAAGTGCTTTTCCACGCGCATTTTGGCATCGCTACCCTTGGTTGATTTACTCCGTAATAAATACAGGAAGGAGACCGGACGCCCACTTCCTTGCGTCTTGCTCTCGTGTCCAGCATGTCTTGCTGCACTTCGTGCCTGCCTTCGGTCGGCGTCCGATATCGACGAAATACGTACGCCTTACACGGCGCACCATAAACCATGGAGCACAGACTGGCCCAGCCGGATGGCGGAATGCTGAAATTGGAGCACACAGACTGACACTTTTTTTTTACAACCCCCCC